TAGCAACTTTAAAGCTTATTTTATGTATTACAAAATGAAAAAAAAAAATTTGTCCCGACACTTTATCTTCTGAATGTAAACGGTTGTCGTAGTTAAAAAAAACGCTATTTTTGTGTTAAAATTTTCGATTTTAAATTTTCAACTTAAAAGTGCTATAACTTTTCGAAAAATGTAATTATCAGCACAAATTTTTTTTTCTAAATACATTATAAATACATCTTTCATTTGACATACTTTTTATTAAAATTGGACAATTTCCCCTTATATAGGGGGCGTTCAAAACTTAAAATATTGGTGTAAAAAATATAATTTTTTCAACTTAACTTTTGAAAGTGTTTGGAAATACTGCGTCCTTTAAACATATATCAAATTAAAGGTTATGTTATATACTATTAAATGAAAAAAAAAAATTTGTCCCGACATCTTATCTTCTATGTACAAATGGCTGTCGAAAATTAAAAAAAAATGTAATGTTTGCGATAAAAATTACCCTTTCTTGGAATGTTTTTTGTGCTTAAAACTGCCATAACTTTTTCAAAAATTAACAAATAAAAATAATATTTTTTTGTATTGAAACCTTAGATATTTCCCTTTCATTTGATATAATTTTTTTTGAAAATCTAACACTTATTCTGCTCACTGGGAGGATTTAAAATAGTAACTTTTTTACAAAAAATAACTTTTTCAACTTAATTTTTGAAAATGTTCCGGAAATACTGCGTCCTTTAAACATATATAAAATTAAAGCTTATTTTATGTACTATAAAATGAAAAAAAAAAATTTGTCCCGACGATCTATCTTCTATACGCAAATGGCTACCATATTGAAAAATATACTATTTTTGTATGATAATTATGGGTTTTTTATTTTATTTTAATAGAAGTTGATGTTGCTTTTGCAATTATCCATCAATTTTTTAAAATTAAACACTATCTACAGATTTGCATCGAAGCTTTTCTTATGATAGTGATTTTAATCACTGTCAGATTAAATCTATACTGGACCCTACTATGCAATGTCTCCACTATGCCGCGACCCCACTGTGCTACCGTTTTTTTATATGTAAATATTCGGTTTTTGCTTATTAGTAATAATCTCAAAAATTAGAAGTAATAGAAATAATCTAATTAATTAATTAAAAATGAATTATTTTATAAATTAACTAATTAAAAAAAAACGTGAGCATTTTTCTTTTATATTTTTAATTTTATATTGCTATAACTTTTTAAAAATTGCATTGATCAATACAAATTTATTTTATAAGAATTTTAAATATTTTCCATTTATCTGACATACGTTTTTTTAAATCGGACCGTTTCCCTTTATACAGAAGTGTGATAACTTTAAACATGTGTTTAGTAAGTAGAACTTTTTCAATTTAACTTATGAAAATGTTCCGATAATACTGACACTTTTATATATATCTTAAATTAAAACTTAATTAATATACTTTATTTTGAAAAAAAAAATTACCACTAGATTGCCTTCGTGGTGAAAACGAGCATTAAAGTTAAAGAATAAATTAAAATTTTTGTACAAAAATAGAAATGTTCAAAAAAATTGTTTTACAAAAACATATTTAAAAGTATTTTAAAAAAATGAATGTAAAATTTATTAATGTATTAAAAAACGAGTAGTTGGAAAACCATTCCCCTAATTTTTTTTTGACTTAAAATTATATAAAATATTAAAAAACATTTGTTTTGATATTATTTTTACTATGACATATTTATTTATTGTTTTTTTTTGTGTCTATCACTACTTTTTTTCAGCTCTCATTGGATCGTTTTTAGCTTCGATGCGAAGCTGAGAAGGTATTGGTTTTACTAAGATGTGTTTATTTTTTTTTTTTTTGTGTCTGTTACCACTTTTTCTCAGCTCTCACCGAACCGATTTCTTTCAATGATACATCAAAAGATCACAAATCGTATCTAATCGAAGACATTACCCTCAAAAATTGCTATAACTTTTTTAAAAATAACCAAATCAATATAATTTTTTTTTATATAGATGCATGATATCATTACCTTTCATTTGGTATATTTTTTTTTATATGTGACCCTTTACTTGCCCACAGGGGGGGATTTAAAATGACAACTTTTTCACAAAAAATTAATTTTTTCAACTTAATTTTTGAAAATATTCCGGAAGGTCTGACACTTTTATATATATCTTAAATTAAAGTTAATGTAATATACTTTATCATGAAAAAAAAAAATTTCGGACATTATTTTATCTTCACGGTGAAAATGGCTACCGAATGCTATTTTTGTGTGAAAATTTTCGATTTTGTATTTTACATTATTAACTTTATTATGCTATAACTTTTTGAAAAATGTATGGATCATTACAATTTATTTACGAAAAGTAGTATTTATATAGATCTTCCATTCGACATACTTTTTTTTTAAATCGTACCATTTCCCTTAATTTAGGGGAGATTCAAAACATAAAAATGCATGTAGAAAGTAGAACTTTTTCAACTTAACTTTTGAAAGTGTTCCGGAAAGTCTGACACTTTTATATATATCTTAAATTAAAGTAAATGTAATATACTTTATTATAGTAATTTCGGACTTTATTTTATCTTCATGGTGAAAACAGACATCAAACTTAATAAAAAAAATACGATTTTTGTAAAAAAAACTGTGCCGCGACCCCCCTGTGCTGGGTTTTTTTCAATTAAAAGACTTAATTTAATATATATATATTTAAAATTGTATCTTCACAAATGATAGGAGTATAGAATCTTTTTTATACTGAATTACACAAAGAAATAAAATTACTAACTTCAAACATTATTTAAACATAGACCAATATATAATTTGTAAAACCAAATTTTTGCAATTATTTCAAATATATAATTAGATTTTTTCTATCGCCTCTTTTTTTGAGATTATTTCTAATCAGTAAAATAAGTATTTTAATTAAAAATATTATGTTTAATCTATTTTTTAGGCCTACAAATTGAATTTTGAAAGTTTATAATTTAAACTTGATGATAAACTTTTACACTTTTTTTAGCTCAACTTGTAAGTTTGAGATTGATATCATTAAATAGTATATTTGAAGAAGATTTTAAAAAAAGTATTTTTTTTATTGATATCTGATCAGGAACTTACTATTAACAGTAAATTTATAATAAAAGCTCAAAATTTTGTTAAAATCACTATTGTTTTGTATTAATATCAAAATAAATCACTTGTATAAAAATCATAGCAATCTATGTAACTTTTAATGTTTAAATAGATGCTACAATTAATTATTCAGAATTATATTCTATATAGTTATATTCTATTATATTCTATAATATTTTGATATACAAAAATATTCTGTGCCTAGTTTTTATATATAATTTCGTCTGCTAATGTATTTTATTTTAACTTAAATTTTTTTCTAGATATTGGTTTTTATTAATTTGTAATAATCTCAAAACTAAAAGTAATAGAAAAATTCGAATTTCAGATTTAAAATCAATGCAAAAAATTGTATATTGTAAAAGAATATTTTTGCCTCTAGTAAAATTAACTTATAGACCTTTTAAACAATTTTTTCTAGAAAATTATACATCAATCTCTTCCATTTTTATATACGTTTGCCATATATATAACGAAATATACAATTACTTTATAATTTTTTATAATTACTTCATAAAAATTACAAATTATTGAACAATAATAATTAATTATTGAACACATTATGCACATATAATAATGTAAATAAATAAAAAAAATTGATGGATTATTCCAAAAGCTACATGATCTCTTATTTCCTTATTTAAATCCTGATTACAAGTTTTATGATTTATAAGTGTAATATATGAATAAATATATATATATAAATGTATAAAGGGAAATGGTGTTACTTTAAAAAACCCAGCACAAGGGGGTCGCGGCACAGTGGTGACGTAGCATAGTTGGATCAAATATAATGATATCTGACAGTGATTAAAATCACTATAAAAAAAAAAACGCTTTGATGCAAATCTTTACATAGTGTTCATTTTAAAAAAATTGATGGATTATTCCAAAGCTACATGATCTGCTAGTTCCTTATTAATATCCTGATTAAGATAAAGTATGTCGAATGAAAAAGGGATTATTAAAAAATATTATTTCTCATAAAAAAATTGTGTTGATCCATACACTTTTAAATTAGTTATAGCATTATAAAGCTAAAAATTAAAAAAATAAAATCGAGAATTTTCAAACAAAAATAGCATTTGGTAGCCATTTTCACCATGAAGACAAAATAAACGGGAACGAAGGAAATTTTTTCAATTTTTGATGGTAATGTTTTCGACTAGATACGATTTGTGATCTTTTGACGTATCGTTGAAAGAAATCAGTTAGGTGAAAGCTGAGAAAAAATGGCAACAGACACAAAAAAAAACACTTCATAGTAAAACTAATACCTTCTCAGCTTCGCTTTGAAGCTAAAATATAGAATTGTATCATTTGAACATTTTATTTATATATTAAATTAAGGTTAAGACTAGTACGTATTTATATTATTTAATTATTAAAAATTTATATCGTTTATTTTTTTAAATATTTATAATATTAAAAATAGTAATTTTTTTAAATAAAACAAATTTCTAAATATTAGAACTTAAGAATTTTACACAATTTACAAATCATATTTTTATTTAAATAAAATAATAAGTAAAAACCTTACAGTTTGAACTTTTACGCTATTGTAAATATTGTTCAGTTCAAAAGACACGAGAACATTGTGGAAATCAAGGAATTGATTCAAATTAATGGTATAATAATTTAGATTTATTTTTTTAACTTTATTTGTCTCTAAATTAACCCAAATAAATTTTGTATTTAATTTTTAAATTAAATAAATATAAAAGCTTCACAGTTGTATCACTAGTCTATTAAATCGCATCAACCCTTTGATGTCACTTCTGTAAAATAAAATCGTTCATTTTGGTTACCTAGGTGACATATTAAATTTGATCAATTGTGCTGCAGATTCATGATACCTATTTTATAAATCACGTTATATAAGTATTAAATTTAATTTTAATATGTTTCTCCTTGATGGGTAATATATGTTTAAGCTCAAAGGAATTAACCAAAACAGCGGGTGGATCAGTTTTGGATCGAGTGATTTCACAAGCTTCTAACGAAGATGACTGTTTATTATACAAGTAAGAAATATAAACAAGAAAAAAAAATTATTAACAGTATCGTAACAAAAATCGTAATTTAACTATAAGGTTGGCCGACTATAAAAAAGGTGGTGAACTTATTAACGTTTATAATAATGGTGGACAAGAGGAAGCAGAAAAATTTATTTCGGAAAAGCTACATGGTCTTATGTATAACAGTGGTAAAGGCCAAGTTATAAACCGTAATGATTATTTAAGATGGAAGCATCAGAATCAAAAACATGTATGACATAAACTTTTATCATATACTATTGTTTGTAATGAAATAAATAGTTAAATATTAATCAATAGTTAATTCTGATTACTTAGATTAGCATAAATTTAGAAAACAAATTAGGTCCTCATGACCCACTGAAAAAATGGGTAGATCATTTAGCTTGTTGGCAGATGCAATACAGAGGGTCTTTAGGAGAAAGTTTATTACATGTTTTAATTATGTGTGACACAACATTACACACCAGATTATCAAGACTATTACTTAAATACTACCCTATATTAAGCCAAGATATCGTGGAAGGCGAAGAATATTTAGGTAACTACACAGCAACTGGTACATAGGAATTAAAACTTCAATTTTATATGACAACATTTTAGGAGCCAGTGCATTACATTTAGCTATTGCATACAACAATAATGATTTAATTCAAGATTTAGTAGATGCTGGTGCAAATATATGTCAAAGAGCTATTGGTGAATATTTACCAACCTTCATATATTATTTAAAAGTATTGATGTCAATTAAATTTATTTGTTCAGGGAGTTTTTTTTTACCTCGTGATCAACAAAATAAAGAACTTAATAGCAAGCATACCGATTATGAAGGTCTAGCTTATCTAGGAGAGTTCCCGTTAGCTTGGGCTGCGTGTTGCGGAAATCAAACAGTATATAATTTACTAATAGACACAGGAGCGAATCCCGATGCTCAAGATTCATTTGGAAACATGATTCTACATATGGTAGTTGTGTGTGATAAACTTGTATGTATATATATTTAAGAGTTTAAGTTTAATAAGAATACTATACATATGGATATATGGTGTTCAGTAAATAAGATTATAAATTACTCTCGTTGTTTGTAATAGTTTACCTGTTTCCTTATTTTTTAACACTCTGTATAGAATATGAATCATATTTGTTTGATTGGTAAATTTTGTTTTCTTGATTTTTTTTGTGTCTTCATATTTAATGTATTCGATATATGTACATAGTTTTTACTGAACATGTCAACGATAGAAAGTCATTGTAAAATAACATGATACACTTTGCCATTTATCATATAATATTTTATATGGTGGTCCAATAAAATGTGCTTTTGCAAAGGTCTAAACTTTATATAAGGCAATTTAAAAATCTCCGGTAAATGTTTTATAGAAGATAAGAAATAAAGCTTGCGTTTGCAAAACCTTTATAATAGAATGTTGACAATGAATTATGGATCGAATTCATCAGAGAAGTATGTTATACTTGTAAAGCTCAAATTCAATATAAAATTATTATCTTATAATCAATAAATTTAAAATACTTTATTTTCATTAAATTATAACACTATTCTTTAGTAATATAAATAATTATTTTCATATAAATACAATGTGGGTCGGTTCACAAAACTTTGATATTCGAATATTTAAAAAAAATTGCGTCTTTAGAACCTTAACAAATTTGTTTTCTATGTAAATTTTTCCAATTAAAATATGAAAGAATATTATAAGAAGATTAGTAGTCATATAATAATTGGGTTACTAGTAATAAACAAATTTAGTATTAATTAACTTGCTTATATATCATATATAAATTTAAATTATTCTAATAATTCAGCTACAGTGAGAAAAAAAGATAATAAATATATGGCTTTTGAATGTTTATGTATGCTTCCTTTATTGTACACTTGAGCAGATGCTACGTTTGAAACAGATGTTTCAGTCACGTATGCCAAACGTACAAGTTCAAAAATAATATTTACTGAACATTGTACATTGAAAACTATGACATAATATATTGTAAACTGATTTCGTAACATTAATTACCATAAATTATGTCTTGACTTTTACATGTTTTGTAGAGTATGTTTGGTTTTGCCTTAAAACATCCTAAAGTACCGGCGAGCAATGGTATTATGAATATTGCGGGATTAACACCTTTAACATTATCATGTAAATTAGCTAGAGCTAGTGTTTTTCGAGAAATGTTAGAGCTAAGTGCACGAGAATTTTGGAGATATAGTAACATTACGTGTTCAGCATATCCTTTGAGTGCATTAGATACATTATTACCTGATGGAAAGACGAGTATAGAAAAAATTATTCAAAAATATAAAATAATTTACTAATTGAAATATAATCATTTTTAGACTGGAATTCTGCGTTATTTATCATTCTGGATGGGACAAAAGAAGAACATTTAAATATGCTTGACGGTGGAATAATTCAAAAGTTATTAGAAGAAAAATGGAAAACATTTGCACGAGTAAATAATAAACGCATACAATTTTTATTTTTAATTATAGTTAAATATCTAATGGTTAAACCGCAGTATAAAATCTGTTTAAATTCTTTATTAAGTTTTATTTAACAATAAACTAGATCATAACTTCAAAATATACATTGCTGTACTAATTTGATGTCATTAAGATCATTTTCTTTTATTAAAAATAAATAATTAAATTTGTAGCATCATAATCAAATTATATAAATATACAATCATAAAATTTTATAAATGTTTACATAAATATTTATGGTTTTTATAGAAATGTTAACACTATTTACAGAAGCAGTTTATGAAGCGTTTGATTATATTATGCATTCATTTGATAATGTTAAGTATATCTATTTATTTAAGACCAGTTGATCAAGATAAACCTTTATTAGGTCTAACAGAAAATTGGCAAGATATTGCTAGATACTGCTTCGAAGGAGGTACAGTATTGGGAGTTTTGTCTTATTTGATATTTCAGCAAGGTGGTGAGATATTAAATCAGGGTCTAGTTGGATTTTTAAAACAGACGGTATTATTTCATTTAATATTATTATTTTTACTCTAAAATGTAAAATATTTTAAAATTAATCTTCAATAATTTGTAGTTCAAAGAACCAGCCAAATTAATATTTCTAATTTCAAACCTGTTAATATTGGCTTGTATACCTCCGCGGTTACTGGGTGATAAACAATCAGAGGAAGCCATATTAGTTTTTGCAGTACCAGGATCTTGGTTTTTATTGATGTTTTTTGCTGGGTATTAAAATGAAATATCGTTTGTGTAACTTAATATAACTTGCATGTCCTTAATACTTTAGAGCAGTACGCCTGACTGGACCTTTTGTTACGATGGTCTATTTGATGATTACGGGAGATATGTTAACATTTTTTGTGATATATTCAGTTATTTTGTCTGGATTCACACAGTCATTTTTTTTCTTGTATAAAGGTTCTCCAGAAGTTGCTTCGTCATTGTATAAATCATATCCATCTACGTGGATGGCTTTATTTCAAGTTACGATGGGAGAATACAATGTAAGTATTATTAAATTATTTTTATTTGATAATAATAATCAATTATAATTTCAGTATGCTGATCTTAGTTACACTGTGTACCCTGCTCTAAGTAAAACAGTCTTCACTATATTCATGGTATTGGTTCCAATATTACTACTCAATATGTTGATAGCTATGATGGGTAATACTTACGCTCACGTAATTGAACAAAGTGAAAAAGAATGGATGAAACAAGTACAAAACATAAAAAATTACTGATTATTAAAATATTTATTTATTGTTATCTCAGAATTAAGCGTAACCTTAAAATTTATTAAAGTTTTAAAAAATATAAAAACAGAATTTTGTTTTTTTTTTTTAATTATTATGGCTTCAACTTTTTGAGTCATTACCTAAAAAACGTTTTATTCAGTTTTACAATATTTTGCAACTATTTACAAGGATATATTTACTGTGATATTTATTAAAATTAATCTAGTGGAGAAATCTTATAATTTTTTTATGTTTTCTGTGTTTAATGCAGGGGTCTCCAAACTACGATCCAGATGCATTAAACTTTAATGCATCTTGATGGATTGGCTATCTCAAATTTAGACTTTAGGCTTCATATTTTAGACAATTTGAAATAATATGTTTTATGGATAAATGAATTTGACATTCGTTACATTTAGTTAGGGTTATTTTACAAACAATTTTATTTTCCATACACAAAAAATATATAAGGAAAATTATTTTTGATAATAATTTTTCTGATATATTTAATATAAATTCCTGAAGTTTATCATTTGTACTAACAAAAATGATTAATATGAATTAAAATTTATTAACAGTCAGGATCTTCGAAGTGGAATTGAGGCATTCTTTAAATGGTATTAATTGATCAGTGATTAAAATCACTATCGTAAAATACATCGACGAATATTATGCGTAACGACTAAAAACTTATTTATATCAAATTTACCAAAATTTACAGGATTTTTGATCTATGAGTCCGATACTCATTAAGGAAAAGTCATTAGAATGTTTATATTTTTTAATCGTATATTACTTCAAACAAGTTTTAATTTTAAATAATTTAAAATTATGAAGGTAGATCGCTGTTATGCAAAAAGTTACAAAATTGGCCATTTTTACCGAAAATTAAATGATTTTTGGCTTTAACGTCCAATAACTCCTAAAATTGAGATTTCAAATAATTTTTCTTTTCTCATCTTAATTACTTTGTATTAGCTTTAAATTAATGTAGGTTTTTTTTTTGCCATAACTTCTCAGCTATATATCAAAGCTAATATTTAGTTTTAATTTTATTACAGTGGGCTAAAATAGTAGTAACACTAGAAAGAGCAGTACCGCAAAAAGCAGCAAGAACATATTTAGAAGAGTATAGTATACAGCTAGCTCCCGGCGATGAAACAAATCCAGAACAAAGAGGTTTTATGGTTATCAAATGTAAAAGTCAGACAAGAGCAAAGCAACGAAAAGGAGCTGTTATTAATTGGAAGGTATAATTATACATTAGTACTTGATGACATATGTATAATATATATACAAATTATATATAGTGTTCAGTAAGTAAGGAAACGGGTTTCTATTGTTCTCATTGTTTTTAACAATTTACTTGTTTTATTATTAACTGATTAACTGTATATTATATATAACTACAAGATTTAAGATATTTTAAAAATCTCTTATATTGCAAAAGTATAACATATAAATCCGAGCTTAATACTATTTATGTGTCATACTAAATAACAAAAACTTTTGTTTTTATTTCATTTAATATCGTATCATAATAATTCAAATGGTATCACGGTTAAATAATATTATTATTGATTCATTACACTCATGGAACACGTGTAATTGGTCTAGAAAAGTGGAAAGTTAGTCATTCAAGAGCTACGAAAATTAGAAGGTACCGGTCAAAGTTTAAAAGACATCATTTGGAAAAGATCTTCTCTAACAAATTCATCTCCTATTATAAATAAATTACAAGGGTAATTAAATATTAAATTATTATTTAAAAAAAAATTACAACTTTTTAATTAACTGTTTAAAGAAATAAAAAAGGAAAAGAAAATTCAAATAAAAGTATTGACCAATCTAAACTTTCGGGAGCACTCGAAGCTGCGTTAGATGCAATGGCTACAAAACATGATTTTAACATAACTTCACCCATAATGCAAAATATAGAAGGTATAAAAATCTATTATTTTTTATTATCATAATTCATTTTATGATCATCTCCACTTAAAAAAAAATTTTTCTTGTTTATTTGTATGATGTAGAAGTTCATGATCCTTTGAGACAGCTAGTCATTATGACAGAAAATAACAATAATATTGACAATCACCAAATCGAAATTGTAGCAAACAAAGCTGCTAAAATTTCTGTAAGGAAGACTTTATCAAATTTATAATTATAACGTTTGTACTGGAAACATAAAATTATTAAAAAAATATATTGCAGGTACAAAATTTTACGACACCAAAAAAAAATGTACAACAAGCAAAAAACGGTAATTATATATTTTTATAAATATCTTAAACAATTATATAAGCAAAAACTGTGAACTAATCTTAATTATATCGAATTTCCGTTTCAATTCAGGTATTGAATCTAAATCCTTATTGGATTTTCAAACAAAATATAATTGTATTATACATCAATGTGAAAATTTATCAGTAAATGAGTATAATAAAACTGTCTTGAATACAAAAAGTAGGTCAACGCAAACAAGCAGCTCAGATATCCTACTAAAAAATGAAACTCAAGTTTCTCGACCAAAAACTGCAAAAGTAAATCGGTAAAAAATATTATTTTTAATTATAAATAATGTTTGATATAAACGGAAAATATTTATTAATGTAATTTAAAATAAAATGTAATCAATTCTATGAAGTTTTTTAATCAAGAATTGTCGTATATGACAAGATTTTTAAACTTTTATTTTTAGATTTAAAATAATAATTATGTTAAGAAAATTATTTTTAAAATTTTTTTATTCCATAATTTTTTCAAATTATCAGTTTTTAATTATTTTTTGAATTTATTCCTTATACCTTAGAAACAGGGCTCATATCTTAAGCACTTTAAAAGTATGACTTTAAGGGCCATAATAAGAGCACCAAAAAGGCCAAAAAAATTAAATTTGAAGAAGTATTAATTTTTATTTTATGAAAAATTTTACAATTTTAGTTTTATACTTAACGCAAGTAAAACCATTTTGTCACACTGTGTCAACAACTCATTATTTCTGTCATTGACCTTCTGATAAGGCAATCGAAGAAAATAAATACACGTACAATTACAATCAAATCGTTTATCGGTTTTGATCCCTCCTCAATAAACTAATTATATAGTTATATACTAATAGTTATCGATTTTATCTGTTTCTATAGATTTTTTAAATTTTGAGTATATTTATAGCTTCCTTAAATTTTATATATTTTTACGACTTCTTTAAATTTTAAGCATTTTTATTACTTCATAAATTTCTAAATACAATCAAAATATCAAAGAATTTCCATGAAATATCACAGAAAAACTCTCAATAAATTGATAGACATTATTCATATAAATTACAAACTCGTGTTAGAACCCTTTTAGTTCGAGAAAAAACAATGAGTTTTTAAAGTGAACATTGAATGTAAATGAACAAAATTAATGTTCAATTAAAAATAAATACTTGCATTACTCCCGTTTTTTTTTGCTACAAAGTTATAAAAAAAAATAATTAAATATGTTTAAATTTCCAGATGATTTTTTAATTACGGTACTAAAATAACTTTAAATACATAAAATAAACAAAACAACATTAATCATCGAAATACATAAAGAATTGCAACAAAATTTTTCGTATTTAGCTCATTAATTCCTTTATTTATTTATTAATTATAAAAGAATATCTTTACAATCTGTCAATAAATAAAACAATAAGTAATAAATTATTAATACTTATGCAACATACATATTTAACTCGTTTATAAAATAAAAAATTGACCAATTACCAAAATGACTGTTTGATAACAATTGCTTAACCATTATTTAAGAAGTTATTATTATTTTAAAATGTATATTGGAAGTCAGGTGTGGGTATAACAATATTTAAAATATTAAAAGATATATTTGAATAAAAGTGTATTTGGCACCTATAATATGATCATTAATAAGGGTCTTGAATAATCACCAAGGCACCTCATTCCAATTTTAAAACCTCTAAAAATATCAAATTTTAATTGTCTATAATAATTTATAATCTTACAATATAATATGGTTAGATTTAAGTCTGTTCCTAATATTTATGATGGCAAAACAAATAGTGATATAATTTAATTTATTTTTCCATATGTTTGATGCCTAGGGTTTCAATACTATTACTCTATACTTTTTTAAAAACTGTCCTGATTGGGTCTAAATATTTTAGAATTTATTAGTTAACGATATATGAATCATTCAGGACCTAATAAACATTTTTTAATTGTTATTTATTATTACATAGTTTTATTAATCTATTAAGATTTTTAAACAGAAAATTTTATAAGTTTATTTGTTATTTTTTTATTATGTTCTAAGTAATATTTATATTTCTTTCAAATTGTATTTTATAAATGCTGAAATTTCCCTTTCTTCTATTTTATCTTAAAGGTTACCAAATAAATCATTTAAATTATTACACTTAGATGTTACTTAAGTAATACCGAAATTCTTAAAAACTGTAGCTAATCCATTCTAAATACACGGGTAAAATAAAATGGATGAGCTAATTACTTTTTGTTTCCCACGCTAATGAGTGCATTGGCTACCCTCCTTTCTTTATACAACTTTTTTGTTTGGACTAATTTTAAAATTATGTTTTAATGGCATACCATCAAATCAATCTAATTCTTTTATAGCCCAAAGTTCTTTATCAAAATTTATTTTATTCATAGGAATATTAACTAATCTAACATAGATTTTATTAATATTTTAAATAATATAAGTAATCAATTAATTATTATATAACAAAATTAAGTTGATTAATATTTACGATTCAAGAATGAAACCTTCAAACTGAAACTGTGACATTTATAAAATATAATATGAAAGTTATAACAAATATTATGTAAGACAAACCAAAATAAACATAGGGATCAGAACACAAATGTTTCATTAAAAATAAAGAAGCTGATAAATCTCTGTGGTGAGTTTAACACTAATATTATTTTTGTTTTATAATTATCTAGTGTAATGCCAATTCCAAATTTCAATGTAAAAAGAGGAAGTTCCGCACAACAGAACAAAAGGGATCACTCCAAAGAAGATCAATCACAATGTTATTGCTTGAGCGGAAACAATATGCTACGCCCATGGAGCACACAGGATTTAGCACCACTAAGTACTATATTGGCGTGGGGTCCAAATGATGATTTCATTTAAAATCTCAAATAATTACAATTTTAAAGCACAATAAGATATGTATATTTTTATTAAATACATTGAATTAATTTATTCAACATAATATTTTTTACTTTTCTTATTCTAAAAATTTTAACTAATTTTATTAAAATTACTACTTTTTAAATATAACTTCTTAAAATGACAATTTTCAACAATCATTTATTTTTTTATTTCAATATTTTTTAAATTATTTATAGATTATTAATCATTTTTAATTGTTGATATTATATAATTATTGACTAAATTTACAGATTAAATCATACTTAGATATACGCTGTATTTGAATTCAGTGAAACTAAATAGTATTGTGAAAGTAATTAATTTCAGAGTACATAACAATATTGTATAATGCTATACAATTTAAACTCGTTAATACTTTGTGATTAGATACCTATCTTCAAGGTATTTAAAGTATTGATACGTACCACATTGTTTGGAATTAAAAAAATAAAACAACATTTATATATGTTATTCTATTTTTTTTAACTTTAACTCAAACTGTGTAATACAGACCGTATTAAATAAAGAAGCATTGTTAAAAATATAAAATTATATATAGTCCAAGTTTATAAAATATAGCAGAAATTTAGCTTTAAAAAGATCTTATATATTATAGAAAATATTTAAAATTTCATACTTTTATAGCCTTATTTTTGAAAATAAAAATATATACGAGTAATTTTGCTTCAGAGTAGAATCAGATTACATGATAATTCTTTTCTTTTTCCAACCCAGAAATTGTATGCAATTAGAAATGGATTAATATTATTATTCCACTATATCGAAAGAGTGATAGTTCATAATTACATAGTACATAAACATACTCATTTTTGTTATGTGGTGTAATACTTTATCATAAATATATACTCATTTTATGAGTAAAAAAATATTATTTACTAGATAAGATACATGACAAAACATATCCATTATTTAATCCCAGCCTTACAATTAAAATTATTTTATATTAAATTATATCATGTTTAACAAAAAAATATATTTTTACTTTCTTTGTTTTAATTGCTCAATTAGAGAACAATAAAATAAATACGTAAAAATTGCAAAATTTAGAAGAAAGATTTTATTTAAGGTAAAAATAAATTAACTAATTATTAAAATTAAATAATTATAAACTATAACTCGATTCACAATTTATTTATTTTGTATGATTTATTAATAAATATTTTATTTTAATATTTATAAGTTAAGAATAGTACCTCTCAATTTTTCGTTAAATAACTATTTTTTCATGAAAATGAACAAATTAAAATTGTATTTACTTTTATAAAAAAGTAAATATCAAGTTTTTTGTAAAAAAAAATTATTTCTAAATGTATATATTAGGGGTAATTTTCCAAACTTAAATGACAACCTTTTATTACATTCTAATATTAAATAGTGAATTGACGAAATACATTTTTGATTGGTCGATGGGGTAATGGAGTAATGTTCTGCAATACTTTATTTTTACCGTAAATCATTGATAAAAGTTCTACGTTACGTACCCTACTAGTCAATAATTAAAAATGATTTTAAATCAAAAAGCTAATGATATAAAACTGGTTTTTAATCTGTCAACATTTTATTTATACCGTTTTTCATTTTATAGAAAAAAAAAATACCATTAAGTTTTCAAAAAATATCCTCAAACACAACCATAAGAAATAATTTTTTCTTACAATTAACATGATATTTACAATAGATCATAATAATTAATAATATTTTTATTAAAAAAACATTATTTAACGAAAATATGTGAGAATGTATCTTTAATTAATTATATTGTATAATAAAACTCAATTAATCAAGTCATCAAAACTTGTAAATTGGAAATGTAAATTAAGATAGAAATGGAGTGTAAATTTTTTAAAACATGTAAATAAAAAACATTGAAGAATCAAGAATAATACAGTAGATAAAACTTAACGTTTTAGGAAAATTAATTGATCCAAATTCAAAAGTTACAAGTATTAAATTGATATAGTGCTTACAGATTAAATGTTGGAGATCAATTCAAGTTTATTCTTGAGACTTAAATAGGTAAAAATAAAATTGGAGAGCTAAAACAGTTGATTAAAACTTTAAAGATGTCTTACATAAATAAGTCTACGATAGTTATTAAATGGGAAAAACATATCGCGTCTTGAATAAAGAACACTTTTGTTGTATTTTTACTTGAAGCTTAGCTTATACTTCTCACTATATTCTAAGCACGTTTAGAGCTTTTTCTGCAATGTCACACAAATTAAGAGATCACGACCTTCTAGAAATGGTCAAATTTGTGATACCATAGTATTCTTGTAATGCGTTTAACATTTTTAACACAATATTCCCAGCTTTATTGCCAAAATACCTAATTAATGAAATTAATAATGTTTATTGTTGAGAATAGTTTTAAAATAAAATAACAAAATAGTTCCACTCATCAAGATGTCAAAAGTAATAAGAAAAAATATTATAAAACTTAATTTTTAATAAAAAAGTTTTTTAACAGTTGTAAAAACAAATTTTAAATTATCAAAATAACTTATTACCGAAACTTAGAACATCAAGTAATTGATGTTGAATATCATTGAAGTTGTATTTTAATACAAAAATATTTAATAGTAGCTTCGATGAAAAGCTGTGAAGGTGAAATTTACTATTATGTGATTTTTTTTGTCTGTTACCACTTATTCTCAGCTCTCACCAAACCAATTTCCTTTAACGATACGCGAAAAGATCACAAATCGTAACTAATCGAAAATATTATCCTCAAAAATAAAAAATTTTTTCTCATTTCCGTAGATGGAGTAAATCTCAAAAAAATTTCAAATTTTCGACATTTTATCAATTTTTTTTACTTAAAACTGCCATAACTTTTTAAAATTGACCAAATCAATATGATTTTTTTTATAGATTCAGGAGGTATTTACCTATTATTTTGACAAATTTTATCCTTTCCCTGCCCATAGGGAGAGATTCAAAATAACAACTTTTTCACAAAAAATTAATTTTTTTGAACTTAACTTTTGAAAATGTTCAGGAAATACTGACACTTTTATATATATCTTAAATTAAAGCATTTGTAATATACTTTAATACGAAAAAAAAATTTTGGACTTTATTTTGTTTTCATGGTGAAAACAAACATCAAAGTTAATAATTAAAAATACGATTTTTGTAAAAAATTACAATATTAAATTATTATATATCAATTTCATACTATATTTAATTGTTATGATAAATATTTATTCATATATTACACTTATAAATTATAAAACTTTTAATTAGTATATAAATAAGGAAATAGGAGATCATGTTGCTTTTAGAATAATCCACTAATATTTTAAAATTAAACACTATCTATAGATTTGCATCGAAATGTTTCTTATGATGGTGATTATAGTCACTGTCAGATATTATCTAAACTTGTCCCAACTATGACACTTCCATACTGTGCTACTGTTTTTAATTAAGAAAAAATATGTAATGAAATAATTTTTCAAAGTAAGAAGTATTTGCTAAAAAATAATTTTGCAAAACGCTTATTTAATTATTCATTAAAGTTTAAAAAAAATGTTTATAAACTTATAAATCATACAACTTTTAATTAGGATATAAATAAGGAAATAGGAAATCATGTTGCTTTTAGAATAATCCAACAATTTTTAAAATTAAACATCATCTACAGATTTGCATTGAAGCGTTTTTTATGATAGTGATTTTAATTCTTGTGAAAGTATTAAAGACTAAAATTCTCAAAAATATTTGACAGATTAAAATGCAAAACGTATGCTTTTTATCAACTTTGAGTTAAGTATCTTATTGTAATTTAAATACAGCATCAAATGGCATGATTATTTTTTATCTAGTATCAATTTTTTTATAAAAAAAATTAAGTTAAAAAGAACAATTGTTCCCAAAACTTACCTTTTCGATTTTAAAAATTCCTTTATCTCAAAAAATTATATATTGAAAATAATACGTTTTGCATTATAATCCCTCAATTTATGATAGTCGTTCATAGTATACACATTATATCACATTCTCTCTAACCCCCTTTTGTACTATCTCTCTATTATTCATCTGCTGGGTTTATATGTGGTAATAAAGTGTGCTACAACGCTAAAATACAATCTACCGGTAAAATTAGCCTCGGCTTTTGACGGGCACGATAATCGAAAACAGTAACATTCATCCCTTACAAGAGCGCTGTCTACTCTTGTTGCTTTACAAATATCATTCTCTAGTGTAGACATCCACAAAGTTAATTCAACAAAAACTTTATAAGAAATAAGTTAATATAAAATAAAACATCGTTCTTTGCGTACAATGCTAAAATATTGTGGAATTTATTGTGTAATTATTTTTTACAAGTACTGTCGTAAGTATTTTATTTATACAATTATAATAATATATTTTATTTTATATATTTCGTATATGTTTGAGCAATCAAATTTGAAAAACCTAGCACAGTGGGGTCGTGGCACAGAGATACACCCAGAGAAAAATCTCGATCTATATAATAAATTCATTGTTCAATTTGATAAATATATCATTACTATTGAATCAATGATATATTTATCAATATGATATTCTTTTTTCTTGTCTTGAACAATAATTATTTATAAGAATAGTTATTTTGTTCGTATTAATAAAACATTATCATAAACCCTTGATAAAATTTTTCTTTCAATTTTGATTGAGGTTTTTCTTTGGGTGTAGGTGGTAGAAGTATAGATAGTATCTGACAGGGATTAAAATCACTAAATATCATAAAAAACTTCAATGCAAATCTGTTAAAATTCATAATTTGTATATTTTTAATTTTACAATTTTTATGACTAAAAATTTCACTCGAATATTAAATGATTGTTAAATTATTTTTACAACGTAAAAAAAAGCAACGTTACGTTTTTGCTTTGACTACCAATATACACACAGAATAATCACCAGGAAACACACATATATATATTAATATTTAAGTAAACTTAAATTTGATATTGTTTAGAAGTTGTCAGACTTATTGGAACATTTCTTAAAGTCAAGTTAAAAAAAAATTGTCATGTATCGCTGGTCTCTATTAAACCCTTCCTGTACTAAGGTTTTTAATCAAATTTTTATAAATAAAACACCAAAAGTAAGCTTATTATTTGTAGTATATTTTATTGAAATTTTATTAAAATCACTGTAGTTTTGAAAAAGTTATGGCAAAATGACAAAAGTGACGAATATTTACAGAAATTTTGCTATTTTTGTATTTACTGACAAATAACTCAAAAAAATAATATCGTCGACTTGTTTATCATTTTTTCATCATTAAGTACTGTTCATAACCTTTAATTTATTATATGTTAAAATTCGTTAGATCTTTCAAAACATTTTCAAAAATCGAAAATAATGTTTTTTTTCTTGAAAAATAGCGATTTTTTTTTTAATTTTACATAGAGATTAATTATCAGGATTTTTTTTAATATTGTAGTAAACTACAAAAGCTTTAATTTGATATCAATTATAAATTGTCAGACTCTGAAATATTTTTAAAAATTTAGTTGAAAAAAATTAACATTCGTTAATTTGCGTAAATAGGTAGTCTCTTTTAAACCCTTCCTGCACTTAGGTTTTTCACTTGATTTTATGAAGGAGCATAATCAAAAAAAAAATTCGTGTCTTTAATATTATAATTAATTAATTATTAATATTATAATTTTAAAACTGAATTATTTTTCTTCTTTTACATATTTAGTTATAATGTGTAGTGTTAAATCGAGGTTGTAACACAATCCAAGTGTACAGTATTGATGTCGTAGTTAATACATAAGTACATTGAAAGTTAAACTGATGAATTACATTTTTATTTTTGGTTAGATTGAAATTTCCTGTATAGTAATACTATTAGTCATAGTTATCTAAAATAAATAAATTATTTTTTTTTCATGTACGAGTTTACTTCGAAAGAACTCATATAAAATAACAACTTAACATTAATATAATTTATATGATTTAAAGACTAAACTGTTGATAAATAATACAACCAATAGTACTTTAATGTGTTCTTTTAATTGTTCTGAGATCCAGGATCAATTACATCTATTTTTCTCCACATAAATGTAATTAACTGTTATAAACTTAGCAATGTATTACGTATATTACATATTAACTACAGAAGCTGACTGAAGGAGTGTGTTAAGTAAAGTGTCATCACTAGACCCTAAGTGATGCACCGAGTAAAATAACGTAAAAAAACTAATAATAAACTTTAAAAAATTTTTTTGAGAATAAAACCTGGGTCTTCAAAGTGTCACACAAGAACTGATTAAGTTCTCTCATATTAATAAGGAAAAATTATGCATGAGAATTCTTATAAAAAAAAGTTATATAATATATATATATATATAATATTTGTTTTATTTATTAACGCTTTAACATCGAAGGTCTAGAGCTGTCTAAAAAAGAATTACAATAAAATGATAATATTCATCAGAATAAACAATCTTACATTTTTTTGTAAATCAGATGAATTACATTAATTTTTTAAAGATATTTATATGATTTATCTATTGTACTTCGTTCAATACTTCTTCCTAAGTAAAAAGAATGTTGAATAATGCACGTTCATTGATGTATTTGCGATATTCTTGAGTTTTGTGAGTTGCAGATAAAAAGTTCTTTATAAAATGAGTTTGTGTGTAAATTTAACGTGGTCAATGTTTAACTATGTGTCAGTTTGAATCAAATTAATGATTTACGATTTCTGTAATATTTACAAATCAAGGAATCTGTTAGTTCCTATAGTAACTTTTTAAATTTATTAAGAGAAATTTTAAAGTCATAAAAGCTTGTAAAAATCTTTTATAAATTTTATAACTTGTCGATGGAGAAATGCTTTTAATAAAATAAGAAATTTATTATTAAATAATGTCAACGATTTTGAATTTTTATTTCAACAAAAATAAGTTTATCTTTTAGTTTATGTCTTCATAGTATTATTTATTATTTTCATAGCATTGTATTATTATAATAATAGCATTATATAGTATTATTATATTTATATCATTGAAAGCTTCTTAAATTTTAAAAATGCATAAAAAAATTATTATAAATATTATTTTACATTCAATATTTCATCCAAATAATAATAAAAAAGTTCAAAATAAAATATTTACTACTTCGAGAATATTATTTTTAAACAATAAGTGTTGTTTACAAAGAAATTAATGTCAATGTTACAACAAAGTAAATCGTGTTTGTTTTAAGAGGTAATAACAATTTAAAAGATTTAATATTATAATTAATAGCAGTTTAAAACGTTATTTGACGAAAAAAATTTAGTACACAATTCAAGTATTTCATATCTACCAAGTAATTGGTTTTTTGTTTAATTGAGCAAACTATACAGAATTTTTTCAAGTAAAGATTATAGTTACTATATAGTAAATGTATAATATTTAATTACTATATTTGTTTTATAAATATTTTGTAAATTAAAAATAATGTTACATATTTTGTTCAACAAGTTTTGTAATTTAAAATTTAAAATCAGGGTAAGTTAATTTATGAAAGGTCGACAATAAAATAGCCAAAATTGAGATTTAAAACAACGTCATATTTAATTAAACCTGATTTATAATTATATAAACTTAATACTTTAGATTTAAAAAGCAATTGTAATTCAAACCCTGCAAAATACGCGCAAATATTTTTTTAATTTCAATGAGTATTTTTATTGATTTTATAAAATAACAGCATGGATAAGTACATTACAATAAGTAAGTACAATGCATATTGTAAATGTTAATTTTGATTTAAATCCAAGTTGATTTTCTTTTTTACATACATATTTTTATTTATACTTATAAAACTTTTAATCCATACAAAGAAAATTATAAAGTTCTTAATTTTATATACTTGTTATCTAATCTTATTAGATTAGGTCAAATTTGTGGGATTACAATATTTCTTAATTTATTATTGGGGAAGGAGACGTCGTTTGTAATCCCTTAATATATATCTAACTTTGGACGAAGGGACATATAAGCGTATTGTATAACAATGGAAAATGTAAATGACTTAATTGCTCATACAATGTAGGATTGTGAGGTGTCATAATAAATAAATGAAATTTGTCCAACCCGTAAATAATTTTCGGATCTGTGCTTGAGACAATTATACGCACTGTACCATATTAAAGAGTTTAAAATTACACCATTATGTATTTAAATTAAAAATATCTAGAATTCTACATTTGATGTTTCTAATTTATCATAACAACAATTCACTGATATTTCAGAATGTTTGTATAAAGAACTGACAGTAAGCTGTCAAAAATAGCATTCTTACCCTAACGTGAATTACACATAAATTCAATTATTGTCTCTAAAGCTGGAAAAATTCTCATCATTATCAAATCCTTTGTAAATGTTTAAAGTACACTTAATTAAATATCATAATACACTATAAAATATTAAAAGAGAAATTTAGAAGTAAAAATTAAGAAACTCTTCATATGAATCAAAATAAATAAATGTAGATAATTTTAAGATATATTTTTAATAAAAATAATTTGTGTAATACTTGAATATTTTTGATCTAATATCTTTTTGTTACATTAAACCATGCTATGGAGTAATAAACTGTGGCGATTCTTGGGATAATTTTAGGGGAGTATTTAGTAAATATTGCCGACTAGTTCCGTCAAATAAGTTCCAAACTTTAGGCTATTAAATATCTATTATCATTTTATTTGCATCAGCTACGACTAAAATGATCTACAGCAATAGTAAATAGTCTACTAGTACTGTTATAAAACATAATATATTTAATCACCAAAATTAAGTAATGAAATCTTTAAAATAATTAACTGTCCTGAGTAACCTATTTGGCAATACATTATTGAGTAAAAAATTCTAAAATTTATTCCAAAATGCTGACTATTGATGACTTTGATGATCGTTTGGGTACTATTTTACTCTTCTATATAAATCTATATGGAGATTCTATAAACGTCAAAAAATAAAAATTAAAAATAATAGGACCTGACTATATTTACATTTTTTTTGAACGGAAATGGTAGTAAAAAATTGTAAAACATTAAATAAAAAAATTTTAAATAAATCAAGTTTATTAAACTATAGAATAAACCGTAAGATACTCAATAAGTTCTGTAAATAATACGTTTTTTTTAGTATTTATTTATAAACAAGTGGATAATTAAGTCATAAATACAATATTTTTTTTTGTTCTAAACTGTTCTATAAATTTCGTAATAAATTTGATATATCAATAAAAATAAACATATCAATATTTTTAAAGAATATAAATCTAAAAATTAATTAATTAACTCTACAACATATAAATTCTAACAATTTTTAGTTTAAAAAAAATATTTATACATTCTTTAAAAATCTTATCAAAAATGGTGATATATATATATATATTTGTTTTTAGAATATACAAAATATGTTATCAAAATCGTTTCACTATAAAAAAAAACCATTATAACCATGAAATGATTTTCTTTCAAAATTATATAATAAAAAATAAATAGTTAAGTAGTTAAATAATTATTCATTACGGTATTTTATTTTTTAATTCAACCATTTTTTAGTGGTAAAAAGTAATTTTAAAACATTTAGTTATGACAAGTCACAAACAATTAAGGTAGTCTAATCCAACCTAACATTTTTAACCCGACGTCAATGTTGTACTTATAGCTAATCTCTACACATATAATCTACTAATAAGGATAAACAAAATATGTTCATCTCAGTAAAACAATATAACAAATTATTTTTAAAATAAATTATTCAAAATCATGAACAAAAAAATATTAAAAGTAATTGAAATAACAGTGTCTGTTTTGTAAATAAATAACTAAAAAATAAAATTACTTTAAAATACAAATTACATCAGTTCTTACAGTTGGTATAATCTACACACTACTAAATCCTACAAAATTTCATTACTTTTACTGTAAATAAGATTTTTGTGATTGTTTTCGATAGAAAATAAATAATAAATTTATATCTCTAACACTATAATTCGCAAAATAAGAATTAAAATTAATACTTCAATAACATTATAGATTTAATTTTTGTAACAATTAACGAAGACAGATTTTTATAGATGCGAAGCTGAGAAGGTATTCATTTTACCATGAGATTTTTATTATTATTTTTTGCATCTGTCACTCCTTTTTCTCAGCTCTCACTGGACCATTTTTCTCAATGATACGTCAAAAGATCACAAATCATATCCAAAATAACACCTTTTCACAAAAAATTAATTTTTTTGAACTTAACTTTTGAAAATGTTCAGGAAATACTGACACTTTTATATATATCTTAAATTAAAGCATTTGTAATATACTTTAATACGAAAAAAAAATTTTGGACTTTATTTTGTTTTCATGGTGAAAACAAACATCAAAGTTAATAATTAAAAATACGATTTTTGTAAAAAATTACAATATTAAATTATTATATATCAATTTCATACTATATTTAATTGTTATGATAAATATTTATTCATATATTACACTTATAAATTATAAAACTTTTAATTAGTATATAAATAAGGAAATAGGAGATCATGTTGCTTTTAGAATAATCCACTAATATTTTAAAATTAAACACTATCTATAGATTTGCATCGAAATGTTTCTTTTGATGGTGATTATAGTCACTGTCAGATATTATCTAAACTTGTCCCAACTATGGCACTTTCATACTGTGCTACCGTTTTTAATTAAAAAATAATATGTATTGAAATAATTTATCAAGGTAAGAGATATTTGTTAAAAAATAATTTTGCAAAACGCTTATTTAATTATTCATTATAATTTTTTCAGATTTTATAAAAAGTTAAAAATATCATAGCAATTAACTAATTGTGGTTTAATTCGGTGTCTCATAAATATTATTTTGTATCAACTATAATAGTTCAATTTCATCTAAATTACATTTTTATCTTTAATTATATTCATAAAAAATGAAAATAACAGTTTCCCAACTATTTATCTCAAGTAAAAAATGAAATACACAATAGTTTTTAATAGCTATATTTTCACAGTTTTATTTTAAGTCAGTGTTATTTATATTTCATCTCAATAAATAATTAATTTAAATACAACAATATCAAAAACCATAATTTTGCTTGACGCAAAATTTTTGTAACTAGTTATTTCAAATTCTATAATAGAATTTCTATTATTAAAAAATATTTACTCATTACATTTATTTGCAATGAGGAGAAATTACAAAGTGTAGATTACACTTAAACAGATTTTTTATTTATCTCATATCAAAAATAGCTTTTCCTAAAATGTTATCTTATCATATTCAATTATTTATATATTAGATAAATACTTTAAATTAAAAGTGTCATATTTTTGCTTGAATAGGCTTATACAGTCCAATTATATCCAGATGTAGAAAAAATAACATTATTATAAAATTGAGGTTTTAAGGTTAAATGCCAAGCAAATCAATAAAATACAGATAATATTTATGAGCCTAAACATATTTTTTGATCCTCCCGAGCTAAATCCCCACGCTCGCCAATATAGAAAGTATTCATCTATAAATAAAATTTAACATTAAAAAAACTAAAATAAATATTTTAAATATATTATATTGATACTATAAATTTTAATTTTTTCTAAAAAAAACTTCGGATTTACTATTAATATTCATTATTATTAAAAAAATAACATGAACTGCAATATTTCCTTATCATCTAAAAACATTAACAGTGAACATATTTTGATTAGAAAAACCTATTAAATTAGTAACGTTTTTATTAAATAAAAAAGTTTTATTTGATTTTAACATTTTAATTTAAAAAAATTTTAAAAGTATTTATTGAATGTACTTGATTTTTTTTTTATAATATTTTACACACTACTCAAAAAAGAAAAAAACAGAAAAAATTTCATACTTGTATATTCAGTTTTAATCGAGGTTGTTAAAAAATATGTATAAAACATAAATTATAAATTTAAATTCACGTCTCTTATCAGAGAAACAATGTATAGCAACTATTCTGAAGAAATCAAAGTGATTGATCTATGTTGGTAAATAGATAAAATTAACCTAACAATTTTCTCAATGTTCATGATAAATATAATTGATAATTACATGGATTACATTATACATAGATGGATATTACATATACAAATTATTTAAGAAAACAACATTTAGATTTGAAAAAAAAAATTGTATTCTAAGGAGATTCGATAGCATTTGATTAATAATCTGGGACCTACAGACAGATTATTAGGATTAAAAAAATTTTAAATTTTATTAAATTAGTAACGTTTTTATTAAATAAAAAAGTTTTATTTGATTTTAACATTTTAATTTAAAAAAATTTTAAAAGTATTTATTGAATGTACTTGATTTTTTTTTTATAATATTTTACACACTACTCAAAAAAGAAAAAAACAGAAAAAATTTCATACTTGTATATTCAGTTTTAATCGAGGTTGTTAAAAAATATGTATAAAACATAAATTATAAATTTAAATTCACGTCTCTTATCAGAGAAACAATGTATAGCAACTATTCTGAAGAAATCAAAGTGATTGATCTATGTTGGTAAATAGATAAAATTAACCTAACAATTTTCTCAATGTTCATGATAAATATAATTGATAATTACATGGATTACATTATACATAGATGGATATTACATATACAAATTATTTAAGAAAACAACATTTAGATTTGAAAAAAAAAATTGTATTCTAAGGAGATTCGATAGCATTTGATTAATAATCTGGGACCTACAGACAGATTATTAGGATTAAAAAAATTTTAAATTTTATTAAATTAGTAACGTTTTTATTAAATAAAAAAGTTTTATTTGATTTTAACATTTTAATTTAAAAAAATTTTAAAAGTATTTATTGAATGTACTTGATTTTTTTTTTATAATATTTTACACACTACTCAAAAAAGAAAAAAACAGAAAAAATTTCATACTTGTATATTCAGTTTTAATCGAGGTTGTTAAAAAATATGTATAAAACATAAATTATAAATTTAAAACGTCCCGTAAGGCCAATGTAATATTTGAAATTTTTGGTGTTTTAAAAAAGCAATAATTAAAAACGTAACAACCTTGGTTTTAACGTTTTCAATATTTTTTTATAAATCGAATATAAATTCTTTGTATATTAAATGTATTGCCTATTTTACTACAGTATATAATTAAGATTAAAGTAATATTTTTAAATGTTAAATAATTTATTCCAAGTTGTAAATGTTTTGTTTTTTAGATGGCGAAGTTTTAAATTTAGAAAATAATTTCCCATGCAAAAATAGTCTGGAAACATGTTTAGGACATGTTTCTTATATAGTCGACAACTCAGGACTGAATGGTATACCTAAATCAAAGAGTGATATTGACGTAGTTTGCAAGTAATAACAAATTATTATTAAGCAATAATAATAATACACTTCTAAACATTATTTTTTATAATAATATTAATTAATAAAAATAATAATGCTTTACTTAAAAAAAAATTAATATTAGAGTATTTTTGACATTTAATATGTAATTTCAAATAATTATATTAATATTTAATAGTTTTTTATCTATTACCTTGTGATTATTTTTTTAATTTTTAAATAATTGAATTTTCAAAAATACTTTTGTTATTATTAAAAACGTTTACTCAATTTAAATTATATTTAACTACTATTTTTAAAAAATATTTTTACTACAACAGAAAAAATATGATTCATTTATTAGAAACGAACTATTTATTTATTTCATTTCAATAGTTCTAATAATGTCGCAAAAATTTTGTGTATTATATTAAGTAAAATATATACATTAATATAATATATTAATGTAAATATATTATATAGTAGTATCAAATATATTATTATAGCGTTTCAAATTATTAAAAAATAACCATGCGGTTAGTTTATGTTTAGATTAAATTACATTTAAGCATTTTATTTGTTTTCTACATTCAATTAAATATTAATTATTTATTAACTTATGTAAATAGATTAATTTTTTAAAAACAGTCTGAACTAAAAATTATAAAAAAGGAGGTAAAAATATATTAACATCTTACCACCAACTTAACATAAACAAATCGTATAATAGTAAAATAATAAAATATATACTTACCAGGAGAGGAGTAACATTATCCGAACATTAATTTAAGGACAGTCCTACTTTAATCAATCACCAAACACTTGAATGTTGGTAAGAAGGAAGAATAGGAAATTGCTCTAAAAATAATTATCGTTCCTGAATTAAATATCTAAAATTATTCTCTCCGTGTTTATATTGTAAAAAATAACGTACCTACTTAATACATATTCCAATTATTTTTTTACATAAAATGAGTTTTTTTTATTCACCAATTGATAAATATTATTCCCCAAATACGTTTATGTGATATTATTGTAATTTTTGTCACAATTTGAGATAAACTTTTTTTTATTTTTAAATCTTAATTCATTCTGTTATTAAATAGAACATAAATAAATTAAATACATTCACATTTTTAAAACATTGTTTTATTACCCTCAGAGTAGTTTCTTTTTTCCTTCAATTGTTCCAAAAAATTGGTATAAGAAAATTAAGAAAAACAAACAAAGTATTTTATACATTACAAAAAATTCAAATATAAATAAATTTCAATAATCATTTAATATTTCGACAGCTATAATTGTATAAAATTATTAAAACACAACCACTAATTAATTTTTATGAAATAAAAAATAATAATAATAATAATTTTAATGATTTAAGATTTATTTAAGATTTAAGGTTGAAGTGGAGTGAAGCGTCTGGCGTCTTATGCGATAAAAGAATTCCAATGAGGCTAAAAGATAAATTCTATAAGACTGTAGTGAGGCCAGTTGTGGTGTATGGTTCAGAGTGTTGGGCGGTTGATAAGAAATCAGAGCAAAGAATGAGTGTAGCAGAGATGAGAATGCTTAGATGGATGAATGGAGTGAATAGAAAAGATAGAATAAGGAACGAGCATATAAGAGGGAGTATAGGTGTAGCGTCAACCGTGGATAAGATGAGAGAAAATAGGCTTAGATGGTTTAGTCATGTTATGAAGAGAGATATAGAAATGAATGTGGAAGGAAGAAGAGGTAGAGGAAGACCAAAAAAAAAGATGGAGGGATGCTATTGAATGATCGATATGAGAACAGCTGATGTGAGCGTAGATGATGTGGGAGGTCGTGTCAAGTGGAAGTTTAAGATAAGGGTGACCGACCCAAAGTAGTTGGGATTAAGGCAAGGAAGAAGAAGATTTTTTAAGTGCATATTGTAATTGCTTCACTTGGTTTCTTACTTGTTCAATTTTGTAAATAAATAAAATTGAATAAATATTTACATAATTGAATGTAATTACTTTTTATTTTACTTTTAAAAATTTGAGAACACTAATATATGATAATGATTTTGAATGAACTAATATTATGTAATATTATCCATGAAAAGTTGCCTCAACCAATAATGCATAATAAATAATGAAAAAAAAAGTCTTCTCTTGTATCTACTATTTGTATTAAAAATAACGAAAAAACCTATAAAATTTCCTGTTTAAAAATCTTAATATATGAATAAAACTATATAATAATAAATTACGATTAAAAAATGTTTATTTAAGTCCTGAATGATTCATATATCGTTAACTAATGAATTCTAAAATATTTTGACCCAATCGAGGCAGTTTTTAAAAAAGTATAGAGTAATAGTATTAAGATCATAGGCATCAAACTTATGAAAAAAAAAATTAAATTATATACTATATGTTTTGCCATCATAAATATTAGGAACAGACTTAAATCTAACCATATTATATTGTAAGATTATAAATTATTATAGAGAATTAAAATTTGATATTTTTAGAGGTTTCAAAATTGGAATGAAGTGTCTTGATGATTATTCAAGACAGTGTTTAACAGAAGAACAGAAAAACCTTATTAATGATCATATTATGGGTGCCAAATACACTTTCAAATTTTTATGCGATGATATCAAATTTCAAAATGGTAAATTTATTATTAGTTATAAGATATAAAAGAAAGGTGAGCACAACATTCCCTATTTCGTTATGTCCAAAAATCAATGTATATTAATATTTTTTGATGAATTTTACGGAAAAACTCGTTATTATATTTTGAAATCTATAAACATTTTTATAAAACTTGTTCTATTATTTTTACCTATTGATTTTTATTATACTTGTGATTGTATGGTATTTCATTGAAAAATGAGTAAGGGCAACTAAAGACAAAGTAAAATTTTTATAATTCAAAAAGTTGTACATTTACTTAATTTAATAGATTTTAGCAATTTAAATTTTCTCGGGACAATATTTCGTAATTTATTGAAGTGTTTTCTCTATTATATAATTTAATATATAACTATAACTTTTTTAAATTAAACGTCATACATAATTTAGGTGTCAATATGATTTTACCAAAATTATATATCGTTAAAAAGTACTCAATGAACCCATACCTTTTCGTTTCATAATGGCAATCACTTAAGATAATTAAGTTTCAAATATAATTTAAAATTCTAAATAAATTCGTTACAAAAATTATTTCTAAAAGTACTCTGCTTAGTGACAAATAATAAAAACCTTTTTATAGGTATAGAATGTAGCTGGCACATTTTAAAATTTACAATAATAAAATCAATACCTTTATTTTAGAGGCGCTGCAGTTGTTTTGGTTTTATAAACAACCATTTATAGAAGTATAGATAGTATAATATTATTTAACGTTATAAAAATAATTTATAAATCATAATTACCTTTACAATCATTGATCAAAAATCGATGTGCAAGGCACACGGACTCTGGTTATACTTACATCGAAAGAGTGAGTAGAGGAGATACTCGCACATACAGCCTTTAGCTATAAGCCTTCAGCTTATTAGTTGTGGCATTGTTTACAATGATTATTTTACTCAAAATAATTTTTTTTAACGTCTTAAATATTTCTTAATCAAAAATTGACCAGTAAAAAATAAATTTAAAATGTTTTCTTTTTTTTCTCCATTAATAATAATCAAATAGTTATTTTATAAACACATAAAATTTATGTATATTAACTTACTTCTTTAAATATTCTTATAATTTCTAACCACTTGTAAAAACATGTCAATGTTGAAACATTGAAATAAAAAATAATATAGTTCTTAACAATGATGTTAAAAATATGAAGTATATCAATCAACTTAATAAGAGCTTCCCCCTGAAATATTAATTTAAAAAGTATCATGTTTCGAATATTAAAATGGAAAGTCCTTTGATGTAAAAAAATTTGTTATACGACAGTCTACCAAAAAAAATAAAAAAACAGGATCAACACGTTATAGGAGTACAAATAAGTTCAAATATAAGTTAGTGGAACATTAAACCTAAATACCCTAATTGATACTAGTACGATAATTGCTATTTATAAATCTAGGTTACACAATACTTTTCTCCAACAATACTTCTTTATCATGAAAGAATCTTTTGTGCATCATCTTAATATAACATAACACTAATTTAATATCTTATTACAGATTATTTAAAATACACCGACTGTTACCGAGTAATAAATTCTGATTGGGATGAATGTACAACCAAATTCACGTCTCTTATCAGAGAAACAATGTATAGCAACTATTCTGAAGAAATCAAAGTGATTGATCTATGTTGGTAAATAGATAAAATTAACCTAACGATTTTCTCAATGTTCATGATAAATGTAATTGATAATTACATGGATTACATTATACATAGATGGATATTACATATACCAATTATTTAAGAAAACAACATTTAGATTTGAAAAAAAAATTGTATTCTAAGGAGATTCGATAGCATTTGATTAATAATCTGGGACCTACAGACAGATTATTAGGATTAAAAAAATTTAAAATTTTATTAAATTAGTAACGTTTTTATTAAATAAAAAAGTTTTATTTGATTTTAACATTTTAATTTAAAAAAATTTTAAAAGTATTTATTGAATGTACTTGATTTTTTTTTTATAATATTATAAAGATTATTAGGATTAAAAAAATTTTAAAAACAAAATTAAAGTTTTGTAATTAATTTTAAGTGCAAATTAAAATAAATAGTCAAATGTTTTTTTGAATAATGGACGAAAAGTATAATAGTAAATAATACATACTAAGCTTTTAATATAATCAATAGTTTAGCATTGTGAAAGTTCATTACAAAAAAGTATACAATGAAAAAAAAAGTTAAATGGAAATTACGACAGATAGTGGAGATGGCTTTATTATCCAACCTACGCTCTTATACGAACGTATTATGCTCGTATTTATGATCATATTGTATAAAATCTAAACCAGTACTGTTGCTAGGTCCTGGCAAACCTATTAAGTGTTATATAAAGTAAAGCCGTTCTTTTTCAATATTTTACAAGGGTGCGAATAAGTATAAACTTATTTTGTATACCACTGGTAACTTGACATGTATCTAGGGGGATTAATAACCCTTTGAAAAATTTCAAATTTTCAATTTAGATATTAAGTAAAATTTATAGTGTTGAGAAGCTGAAAAAACATTTTTTACCCTTCCCCTCCCAATTGAAATTTCTGCTACGATTAAATATTAACTACGATTCCCAGCTACAAAGATATTAATTTTACGTAGAAGTTTATTTTTATTTTATCTGTCTTATTAATAGTCTACTTCTACTGCACTAATGTTTACAATTAATACATCAAATAGTATCAAATTATATTTACCTAAAAAATGTTACTACATTTTTTTTTATTAGTGAAAATATCACAAATAATGCTTTAAACTAAAGCATATGCAATGTAATTTAAGTTAAAAAAATATTTTGTCAATTGGTCTTTTATAATCCTTCTATGTTTTTCTATAAAAAAATTAAAAATAATAATTTTCTAAGTATATATACTTATACTTATAAACAAAAAGACGTGAAACCTCGCCAATTTGCAATGATAACAGTTTCAAGCGATGGCACTGTTCTGAATAAATAAATTTATTATTTTTATACAAATTAAGATTCAATGGCGGCAATTAAAATATTTAATTTATTTGTAAATATAACTTTAATACATTGCTTTAAAATTTATAAATTTGTGTTATTTTAGCTTCGATGCGAAGCTGAGAAGATATTAATTTTACTATGATGTGTGTTTTTTTTTTTTTTTTTATGTCTGTTGCCACTTTTTCTCAGCTCTCACTGGACCGATTTCTTTCAAAAATACGTCAAAATATCACAAATCGTATCTAGTTGAAGACATTACCCTTCAAAATTGAAAAAATTTCCCTCGTTCCCCGTAAATGGGGGAAACCTCCAAAAAAATTACGAATTTAAAAATCGCTAATTTTCGAAATTTTTTCAATTTTTTTTCTTAAAACTTCCATAACTTTTTGAAAAATCAACAAATCAACATAATTTTTTTTTATACTAAAACCTTAGATATCTACCTTTCATTTGATATCAGTTTTTTGAAAATCTATCGCTTAACCTGTTCATTGGGGGAGATTTAAAATGGCAACTTTTTTTCTTTTAAAAATTCTTTCAACTTAATTTTTGAAAATGTTCCGGAAATACTGCGTCCTTCAAACATATATCAAATTAAAGCTTATTTTATGTACTACAAAATGAAAAAAAAAAATTTGTCCCGACACTTTATCTTCTGCATGTAAACGGTTGCCGTAGTTAAAAAAACACTATTTTTGTGTTAAAATTTTCGATTTTNAAATTTGTCCCGACACTTTATCTTCTGTATGTAAACGGTTGTCGTAGTTAAAAAAAACGCTATATTGTGTTAAAATTTTCGATTTTCGATTTTAAATTTTCAACTTAAAAGTGCTATAACTTTTCGAAAAATGTAATTATCAGCACAAATTTTTTTTTCTAAATAAATTATAAATACATCTTTCATTTGACATACTTTTTATTACAATTGGACAATTTTCCCATATATAGGGGGCGTTCAAAACTTGAAATATTGTGTAAAAAATATAATTTTTTCAACTTAACTTTTGAAAGTGTTCCGGAAATACTGCGTCCTTTAAACATATATCAAATTAAAG